CCCCTAAATAAATACTACCAATTTCAAATAAATATCTTCAACATTAGGATGCAAGTTCTCAGGAGGTCACATTCATTAAATATATTAACAATTACAAACAAATATATTGTGAATATAAAATGTGGCAGTGCAAAGCCACAGCTGGTAGAGCGGTTGTCTCTCAGCAAGAAGGTTGCTAGATTAAATCCCTGCCAGCCCTCCAGTTTCCTCTCACAGACCAAAGACAGATCTAAGCTTTATTGGTCCTATATGTCTCAAATTATGGAGGATCGAAACTAACATAATTAGAAAGAAAACCAGAAGTACGATGGGCCAGCTTGTCAGGAACTCCCGGGCCATTTTTTTCTCCCCAGTTTGCCCCTGACTAAGATGTTTTTTAAATTTAAATTTAAATTTTCTAACTTTTATTCATCTCTTTTTCAAAAACAACATAAATTATTTATTCAATAAAAAATACACAAATCACAAATAAAACTAGAACTGCGAAGCAGTTATGACCGGGGTCCAAGCCCATGTATACATGGCCACCTTGGCCCATGTCGTCCTGAGCACATTGTTGAAGTATGCATTACAGAGTTGTAACATGAAGAGTTTACATAAGGTGTACTTGAGACCCTATAATATCTTAAACATATTTAGGTCTCAGTAAAATGTCATTCCATATCCAAATGTCCTCTATTGCCTTCTGTTCTGTCTTTTTACTGGGCGCTCCATTGTTAACTTTCATAAATCATTATACAAACTGTGCCCCCTCTGGACATGTCCAAACCATCTTAATCTGGCCATTCTAACGTTACCTCCTAGTTGTTCATCTTCCTGGGACTCTTTCTGCACCTTTTTACCACACTTCCAATTTTCTTGGACAGACTACTTGTAGCATGACTGTACTAGGTGCCTGTCTTTTATTAACTATACATTTACATGAATAGTTGAACCTAAGTACTTGAGGTCCTATAACTTTGTGCCTTATGCTTCTTGTAATCTCTCTGTTCCACCTGCCCCCTCCTAGTCAGACACATGTACTCTGTCTTACAACAGTCTGAGTTTCATTTCTCTTCTTTAAGATTTCTGGAGTCCCTGCACACACTGTATCCTGGTTTCATGACCCATCTAAGTCACTCTAACTGGGAAAATATATTTTATCTAACTGCTTCAATTTTAGTAAAAAGGAGAGCATAAAAACTTTACCTCGGTTTTTAAATTACTCTGATATGCCAAATAAAACTGGAGTCATGATAGTGTACAACACGTTTTTTAAATGACATTCTTTCTCATGTGCAATACAGTGGCAGGCAACACAGTAGTTTGGTGTAAAAATTGAACTCCACCATCAGTCTCATCCTGTCCAGTCATGTTTTATTTTTGTGAAGAAGTGAAAAATCTACAGGGAAAAAAAGAAGATGCCAAAACTGAATGTTTGAAGGTGATGGAGAAACAGAAAGTGCAGGAAAAAGTAATTAGATTTGCAATATTTAGTGTGTTTCAGGCTGAACAAAAAGAAACAGAACATGGCAGGTTAAAGCATTTTTAAGGGGAAATATAAAGGTAAAATCTAAATACTCCAAAAACTCACCACGTTCTCTTCCATCTCCCTGTTCTCACCACCATGGTCCAAATGATGCCAAAAAACTATCCCACAA